CGCGTTTCCTCCCGGCAAAGTGAGTGAGGAAGCGCTGGGCGAGATCTTGCCACGAGTCAATGCTTCCCTCTGGCAGTCCGTTGAACCACTCGTACGCCGGCCCCTCGAGAGTAGAGAGGAACCAACGGCAGAGGTATTCGTCGGACGCGTTCACCATCAGCATGTTGTTTTGATAGCGGCTGAAGTGCTCCTGGGGGTCTGATCGGCCATCGTAGGGCTTGATGGCGTTCCCCCTGTACTTCTCAGGGATGGGGGCCGAGAGGACCCTGTTGGTGAAAGGGGTCCTAGTCCTGACCTGGATGATGGGGTCACCTCGCCCTTCGGCCAGCTCCCTCTCCAGGGCGCTGACTTTGTTCATGAGCGCGTTGAGGCCGGGGTCGTTGGAAGCGCCGGCCATAGGGATGTTGGCCGACTGCTTGGCCTCCATCTGAGCCAACCTCCTTTCCAGCTGGGCAATGACCTCGTCCCGGGGGTCTCTGTCGGCCGCGGCGACACCCGGCTGGTTCCTCAGGCGCTCGTTGTGAGCCGCGTTGATCTGGTGGCGCACGTCATCCTCGTGCAACTTCCCCCGTGCCTTTGTCCGGGCGGGGCTGGTCCGCTGTCCGGGACACAGACCCCAAGCTTTCTCTTGGCGAGCCAGGACGAGGATCACCAATCCGTCCCGCCATCCTCTCCGAAACCGGACGACGACGCGTGTCACCTAGCCTATTGAAGGCAGAGGCTTTTCCACGCGCTGGGGTCTGCCCGGGCCGAAGAGGGGAAGCAGGGTGGGAATGGGACGACGTCGTGTCCTGGGCCACAACCCCCTCATTGTTGCCTATCTGGACGGCCAACGGTTGGGGATGAGGAGGTGGGGTGACGTTTCCCCCGGTCCTTGGCAAGAGTGCGCTGAGGACGGTGGGATTCTGAGCCAAGCTGGCGATGATAACCGATAGTGCGGCCTGGACCTGAGGATCTACGGACGGAGAGGCCACGGCCATAGGCTGGGCCGGGGCGTGGTCCGCTTTCTCAGCTCGTTTCTTTTCCAGGCCGAGGCGGGCGTCGGGGACTCCGCCGTTGAGTTGGTTGCGGAGGTCCGTCGTGAGGTTGAAGGCCTCCTGGAAGAGGTCCCCTCCGCCGACCTGGTCGGCTGTGGCGTCCTCATCGTGCTCCCTGGGCTCTTGGTCCTCAGGGATGACTTTGCTGACGAGGTTGCGGTTTGACTTAGTTCTCCCCATGATCAGTGGTTAGCTGTGCTTGGTAGCGACGAAGGGTGCTAACTTGATTGTTCTAGCTCTCAACGAGAGCACCAAATGATAGAGTATATCTCCTAGATTCTAGAGAGAAGTGAGAGCTAGAGAGAGAAGTGCTATAATATGCTTCAATAGAATGAATTCGTAACCCCTATAACTACTCCCAAGGGGAGTATTTATAGAGAAAATTAGGGTTGGGCTCCCAAGCCTTGGGCTTGGGAGGCCCATTTACAACTGGACCGCTACTGGGCCGAATACAAAGCCTCTAATGGGCTGTACAAATGAGTAAGTATAAAATCCGTTTCTGGGAGGTCTTCGTGGCCGACGAGGGCGTGGCCGACGAGGGCACCCGAGTTCCTTGGGTTCAGGACCGTAATCTGAGTTGGCTTCTTCTCGGCCGACGGGGGCGTCTTGGCCGACGAGGGCGCCACTCTGTTGTCTTGTGCTTTCTGTTCTTCCGAGTATGTGGGTCCTGGGGCTCAGACCCATATACTCCATCATCACTTAACCAGAATGGGCAATTGTTATGCAGAAAATAATTAAAATACTTCAAACTTTAAAGAGATGTGAGATGAACATTCGAAACTTGCATATATATTTTAAATACCCCAAACATTATATAAAGAGTTATTTTGGCACCATAGTCAAGTATTATTTCTTTCAAAAATGTAAATTTATGGTGTTAATTACATAATTTAAAATATTTTAGAATGCATGAATAAACAATTAACACTATAAACTTCCATTGCGAAATAAATAATGTTACCCACAGTCTATATATTTGCAACACTTTTAATTTCTTATTTTAAATTATGAAATTAACCTCATAAATTTACATTTTCGAAAAATAATACATGATAATGGTGCGAAAATAACTTTTTATATAAATTTTGGGGTATTTAAATTACATACACAAATTTGGGATATTTACTTCACACCACATCAAAGTTTGCGGTATTTTGATTATTTTTCTCATCGTATATGAAGTACTACTATGACGAATCTTTGATTTTTCTTTTAAATTAATAAATCCGGCATCTTGTTTCAGCAAGAGGGTAGCTAATTTTTCAGCATAAGAGAATCCAAATTTTAATTCAAAATAACAATTTGATTGGCAGAGTGAATAATGAATGAATGGGTCTCCTCTTCTTTTCTTATATGGGGGATTTTGAACTTTCACAATCACATAAACTTTTTTCGATTAACTAAACTTTGTTGAATTACTGAAAATATTCACCCAATCTCCCAAATAAAAATTAGTGTACACACCAAATAACTAACCTAAAAAGTATGTAGAAATCAGTTTTAATTGTACATGTAGAGGAACTTTGCTTTTGGCGAGATGAAAATAGTTTTAAAATTATGTTTCAAAAACTCTAATGACAAATGCCACCTATAGATATCCGATGAATTCATTTAATGAAGGAACAAAAATGGATATCGAATGAATAATAATGACAAATACTACTTATTTCACGGGTTGGTAGACATTTATTAGCTTTGTCCTCAGATCAAATCAATAGGTTTTCCTCTTCAACTTATAAATTTGATGAAGCAGATTAGACGAATTCAATACAAAATTATAGATTGGGGTAGGCACATTTTATGAACCAACCTAAAGGAATAAATTAGGGTAAGCGATAGATTATTTGGAAAAACAAATTGACGGAAACAAATAAAAAATAATCCCAAACACTACACCTCGTAGCGTTTGATTTTTTGGCTGCTTCATCCCAAAAAGCTATGTTGTTCAGTTGTTTACCAAACAATAAGAGTTGGACTTGTTCAGGGGTAAAAATAAAATTTGATTTTTTTGCAATGTTCCAATTATTATTTTCACACAGATGTATGTAAGGATGTTTTTACTTGGACTGTAATTTGCTGGTTTGGTATGGTCTGGTCATATCTGGTCTGGTCTGGTTTCTTTGTATTTTTATAACTATCCAAGTTTGGTCTGGTCTGGTCTGGGAGGAATTACAGTCCAAGTAAAAACATCCTAAGTGTTTGAACCCGAGCTTATGGTGAAATTTGCAAGCTATTTTCCTACAGTAATATTTAGGCATAAAGACTTAGACAGGAGTAAAACAAAGGCTGAGAATCTAAATAGGACCTACCACTTTTTAAACTCTAAATACGACCAAATTTGGGCGGAGAAACAAAAATACCCTTAGGTGTATTCATATAGCAGCTGCCAACACAAATATCCACTCAAACAGGAAGGCGATTGGAGAACCCCGGAGTAATTCTTCTCATCATGCCCATTGCAGATGTGCGGTTTTCTCTGCCGTTCTGCCGCAGCTCGTCGTCGGAGTGGCCTGCAGCTGGTCGTTGCCGGAGGGAGTGCTTTGCCGCTCGTCATCGCCGGAGTGCTCCGCCGCGGATCTTCTTCTTTTCTGCTCTTCTTTTTTTCTTCCACCCGTCTTCTTTCTTCCGCAGATCTACTTTTGATTTTCGCTGGGCGTAAATTTCTATCAGCGTAGAATGCTTTTTGGTTTTGCTTTTGTTTTTTTTTTGCGTTTTGCTTTTGTTTCTTCTTTCTGTTTTATCTAATTTCCTATTCAGTTTATTGTTTTGTTTAACTTGTACCCGAGTAATACTCGGTACAATAATCTTTTGTGGGAGTACAATTGTGAGTGTACATTGTTTCTGCTATAATCTCTCTGAGTCTATGTACATAGTGGATCGGAGCTTTTTGGTGTTGTTTTAGTTTCCAATTTCTTAGTTTTTTTTGGAATTCACTTTCTCACTTTAAAAAAATCAATTTCTTAGTTATTACTTTTACCTTTTCGATTTTATTATATTATTTTTCAGATTGAACTTAATTTTCTAAAACCTAAGTACGTAGTATTTCAGTGAAAACACATGGTGACATTATTTACTATAAAAATAGAGTCAATCCCAATAGAAAATGTTATTGTTATAAAAAATATCAATGTAAAAAAAGTAATATTATCAATCAATGATACAATGTCAAAAAAATGTCAGCTTCATCAAACACGTTGACAATGTCATTGTTTAAAAATTAATGTCGTTGAATGACAATGTATTATAATGACATTGTTTAAACATCAATGTCATTATATATGACAATGTAAACTAATGTTATTCTTTAAAGTTTAATGTCATTGTTCAAAAATTAGTGTCATTGTTTAAAAACCAATGACATTATATGATAATATAATATAATGCCATTTTTTAACTTCAAAGTCATTGTTTAAAAATCAATGTCATTGTATGACAATGTAATATAATGTCATTGTTCAAAAGTCAATGTATCGTTTAAACACCAATGTCATTAAATGATGATGTAATATAGTGCAATTGATTAAAAATCAATGTCATCATATGAAAAATATAGTCCTATTGAGAAGTTAAAATTATTTAGGTCATATTTGTGTATACACGGTTATTTTAAATCCTATTCTTGAGCACATTGTCATTGCTTCAAAATCAATGTCATTGTTTAAAAATCAATGTCATCCTGGAATATTCACGAATGTTTGACAATGTCGAATCCTGTTTGTGACAATGACAGTATTTGACAATGTTGATGTCAAAGACAATGTTGTGACAATTTTAAAGGCACAAAAATGACATCACTTTTATAAAAAAATTATTATTCATATATTACAATGTAATTATATGATTATGTAATATACAATGTCATTATATGACAATGACAATGTCATTGTCATTATATGACAATGACAATGTCATTGTCATATAATGACAATGTCATTGTCATATAATGACAATGTATATTACATATAATGACAATGTACTGACAATGAAACGTTGTCATTGTTTAAATTATGACAATATCATGACCATTGCAATTACACTAATCATTTATCAACAAATTGATAATGTAGATATCAGCAAAAGTAACATAAAATCAAGAAAAAGAAAAGTTAAAATTGATTTTGTCGCCATAAGATCAACGCATCAATATTAAAACTTAAAAGAGCAAATCACAAAAATTAATCAAAAATATATTACTTCAAAAATTAACATAAACTCAAGAAAAACAAAAAATAGTTAAAAGTTAAGAGGTACTCCATAAAAAAGGAAAGAAGCACGTGTAGCTGGAAAAACCAAAAGGAGAGAGAGCTCTCTACCGGCGGAAAAAAGAGGAGAACCAAATGGCAGGAGAAAAAGCTACGAGATCATCGGCAGACGAAGAAGAAATAGGAGGAGAAGGAGGAGAAGGGATTTCTGCCGCCGACCAACGTCGTTGACGTTGAGGAGCCATCGCCGCATCACCGACTCACCGTGACGCCGCTGCAGCGTGGTTCTGCGCTGCGTTTTCTCTGGTGTTTCTCATCTCTATTTGCACCACCATCTTCCTCTTCCTCACGAGAAGAGGAAGGGAGGAGGTGATGAAGAACATATCTGTAACATCTTCGACGGAATCGATTAGCCGATCTAGTTGTTGCGCCACTTGCTACCGGCCAGATTTGGCCGATTCCGGCGATTGGGAGGTGCGCCACCTTCGCCGGTTAGATTTAGTCAATTCCTGTTCAATCTATAAGCTGTTTGTCAAACTAGAAGGCCGAACTCTCCTTTCGCTCCTATGCTCCCTTGAGGCCAGTCGGTGAGGAACGGACACAGGCCAAACAATAAAAAATTAAGGGCAAATCCGGTAATACGAAAATATATGGTCCTATTCACGGATAAAAAAAGAGTAGGTCCTATTTGGTTACATAAACTCAATTTTAGTCTTATATAACACCATTTCTCTAATATTTAATGAACCAAGTGAAGGATATACAATTATTGAGAGAGGAGGAAGGCGGCAGAGATATGCCAACAACCAGAATTTTGTTTCTGAAGGCAAATCTACGCTACTCAATTTAGGTTATCCATCTCAACTTTTTGCATATTTCCCCCACTGTTAACTTCTGTACCGTTAAAACAAAGAAAAGTTAAATGCCCTCTTTTTAGGTATTTTAAAGTTTTTTGCACAAAAGAAACGTTTAAGAGCATTGATGCCCTTTGTTGACTCTAATAATACTTGGGATCTGGTGCCATTTGATAACACTAAAAATGTCGTGGGCTCTAAGTGGATTTTTAAGACAAAATATAATTCAGATGGTTCCATTGAGCGTCATAAAGCTCGTTTGGTAGCTCAAGGGTTTAATCAGCAAGCAGGTGTAGATTTCTCTGAAACTTTTAGTCCAGTTATTAAACCCACCACTGTTCGTATTGTTCTTACACTAATTATTTCTTTTGGGTGGGTTATTCGTCAGTTGGATGTCAAAAATGCTTTTCTGCATGGTCACCTCACCGAGGAAGTATATATGTGTCAGCCGCGGGGTTTCATTCATCCTTTGTTTCCTAATCATTTATGTAGATTGCGAAAAGCAATTTATGGTCTTAAACAAGTCCCGCGAGCGTGGTTTCACAAAAGGTTTATTTCTTTCTCAGCATAAATATGTTTCTGATCTTCTTTCTCGTTTTCATCTCCACACCATTAAATCTGTCCGTACTCCGCTTGCTACTCGCACCTCTTTATCCTTCACTGATGGGGAGCTTCTTGCAGATGCCACTGAGTATCGTAGTATGGTTGGTGTGTTACAGTATTTAACTTTGACACGACCTGATATTACATGTGTTGTACATTTAGTGTCCCAGTTTATGCATGCCCCTCGTACTACTCATTTGTTTGCGGTCAAGCGCATTTTTAGATACTTGCAGGGAACACTTGACCATGGATTATGACTTCAGCCGACCACTCAGGCTTCCTGTGTGATTGCTTATTCAGACGCAGATTGGGCAGGCTGCCCAGACACGACCCGTTCTACGATTGGTTTTGCAGTTTTCTTGGGGCCTAATCTGGTCTCATGGAAGTCCAAGAAGCAGGCTACCGTGTCTAAGTCCTCTACAGAAGCTGAGTATAGAGTTGTTGCTTATACTGTCCGGGATACATTGCATATTCGTTCGGTGCTGTTTGAGCTTGGCTTTCCGGCGACCGTTCCAGTTCAGCTATTCTGTGATAACATCTTTGCATCATATTTGACTGTCAATCCTGTCCAGCATGCTCGTAGCAAGCACATCCAGATTGATTACCATTTTGTTCGAGAACGTGTGGCTCATGGAGACCTGGTCATGAAGTACATCCATGCTCAACTGCAGTTAGCTGATATTTTTACTAAAAGTCTTTCTAGTCAGCAATTTCATTTTTTGAAGAACAACCTGCGCGTTGTATCTCCCGCACAGTTTGAGGGGGTGTACTAGAATATTATTAGGCATATTTGTTTCCTAATCTGTTTAAAACTCTTTTATTATATATATTCAGACCAGGACACCTATTAGAGTACCTTTTCCCAAATTCTCACAAACTTCAGGGGGGTTTCGCCCCTTTTCCCGTTTCGATTTTATGAACCACCACAGACAACTTCTCTAACATATCTAGACCAGACGCAGCCCAAAGTTCGCTCCAGGATGCCAATTGTAACCAATATGACTGCCTCAAATCCTTCTGATAAAAACTGGAAAAAAATCGCATTGACGGGACAATGAGTATGGTTCAGAGAATACTCATTTTATTTTTACGGGTAATGGAGTGGTTATAACTAGATTCTCACCCGTGCGTTGCACGGAACAAAAATTAACTAATGTATAATTGAAAATTATGAAAAGTTATAAAATATACTACATATTACAAATTTTATAAAAAGAGTATAGATGAATTTATGATTAAAATAAATGTTATTAATAGAATAAAGAAAATATATATCCCCTTTATCCCATTAAGATTATCTTATTTTTCATTTTGAAACGTCCCACTAAAATGATATCATAACAAATTTGGTAAAATTTACATGGTTCCAAATTATCCTTATTTTATCATTTCAGTATCAACCACATAGAATCATTTTTATTAATAACCCCGCATTGTTGTCTAATGTTCTAATGTTAATGGTGCGGAGGTAATATGAAAATATCTAAAACAGTCTTTTACAATAATTCAATCAATTTAATCAGAAAAGTAAGTACACCTTATATGTTTTGATCATTATAAAAGTCACATGTTTGATACAAAAGTTATTAATATGTTGAAAATATAATACTCCCTCCGTATTTTAAAGTTCCATACACTTTCCATTTTGGGATGTATTTAAAAGTTCCATACACTTTCCTTTTTTGGTAAGAATTTTCTTTAAAAATATTCAACTACCATTTTCTACATTTTATCTCTCTCTTTTCTACTTTTTCACCTTCTCTCCTACTTTTTCTATACTATTCATTACCATACAGCCCATACTATTCTCCCTTAAATTTTGTGTCACAATCTAACGTATGGATCCTTATTCCTTAAAATACGGAGGGAGTACGGAGTAGACAACATTAAAGCAGTAAAGTTTCAAGAATTAAATGAAAGAATTACCACAAATCAAACAAGCTCTTGAAACAATCATTTTCACTGTGTTTTTTGGCTAGTAAACAAACCTGGATTATGTACTTTCGGAGTAATTAGTACTTCCTTCGTCCCAAAAAATACTTCCCACTTTCCATTTTGGGTCATTCCAAAAAATACTCCCCACTTTCCGTTTTTGGACAATTTGTATGGTTCACATTCATTTTATCTTTTTCTTACACAACTACAATCATACATTTCCACTTTATTCCACTTTCTTAATAAGCGTGCCAAGTCAAACCAGGAAGTATTTTTTGGGACGGAGGTAGTACTTCGTAATTGGATTCATAGATATTTTAAATATTACTTCCTCCGTAACAAAAAAAAATCTCATCATACCCTTAGTAGTTTTAAAAATAATACACTATTACAACTACTTTTGGGATTTATCTCCTATTCCATCATATTATTCCTCCTTCTTATCATCATATCTTCAATAATTTATAATTTTATATCCTCATTCACTATTTTTAATCTACCTACTTTCAGAATCGAAAGATTTTAAAGTTAGGGTGGGCTGTAGACTTATTAGACTATCACTATACTCCGTATACTTGGGAGATATAATCACTTCCCCAAAATGCCGGTCAAGAGTTCGGCGACTAAGTAACTGACCATCTTCATTTAAGAAGTTTTGCACCCTGGCTAGTCCGGTCACCTTAGACTACCCAGCTCCCCCGACATCATCCCAAATCCCTTGGGCAAACGAAGAAGCGGCAAGAGGCCACCCAGAGCTCTGCCACACAAGACAGTCCAAGAAAATGGTACTCTGCTTCCAATACTAGGCCCCGCTATTGAAGTCCAACTTGCTGAGCCTCAAGAGCTCTCACCTTGGAAGAGTGTGTGTAGAGGTGGAAGACATCTAATTGTTGCCAGCGTCAGTAGCTTTCATCTTGTTCCTCCTCTTTACGGTGCTCCACATATATGTATATATGTACACGTATAATACTCACAAATTTCAATTGGGTTGGAAAAGGATCAAAGAAACTAAGAGGCCTTTTTGAAGACCCAAAATGGGCTTATAAGCTTGAAAATAGAAAAAAAAATCGCCAAACACCTGTCAAACAAGCTTATTTGGCTGAAAATTATTATCAGCTCAAAAAACAACCCTAAGGCTACTTTTTAAGCTGAAATTTATTATTTCACTTTTGGCTATTGTAAAGACCAATTTGTCATTCCATTACATCCGGAATAAATCTTCCTCTGCTCGAGATTGAAATCGTCGATTTATTCATCTGCTCGTTGCCTCATAGTTTCTTATCCAAATCGAAGACTTTTGCTCGGCTGTTCCATATTCACAAAGATAAGATGCGATCTATCTTCTTCTTTAATTCTAGACAAAACTTGAAGTGCCTCAAATTCTAATCGAGACATAGCTAAGTGCTTAAATTAGCCTTGCAAAATGCCTTTTCCTCCATTGATGATTATCTGGATTGATATGCTTGTGTGATGGCAGAGTAGATTTACGGAGTATATTTTTAAGAGTTCTAATCACGCAAAAACAATTTGTGAGCAAAGTTCACACTCATTTATTTAACACAAATAATAATACCTTTTATGGTCATTTTACATTTAATCAGTCATTTCAGCCAATATATTATCAAACACTTTTACTTCACCAGATTCAGCCATTTAAGCAGATTCAGTCATTTCAGTCATTGCAGCTGTTACCAAACAGGCCCTAAGAGGCTGGCCATGGAAAAGCATGAAGGTAGGTCAATTGAATGAATCTAACAAATTTCACATCACTTTAACATGAAGTACAACGTTGGTTTCTTTACCCTTGTTACCCGATTATCCAAAGGAATAGTGCGTTAGTGCGTATGGGACATCAACTTTATTACCCGGTTTCCCAGTTCACTGTCATTTCAATGGAAAGTATATCAACCCGACCCATGACCCATATTGTGACCCGTATTTTTGGACGGGAACACTGTACATTTTTCATCTTGCTTTTGTATATAGTAAGATTTCATACATGTTCGCCTCATTACTTGCCATGTACCCGTCTCGTTTATTTTTAGTTGTATTTTTATTACATGTGATGGAGTATATGGGCCTGGACCCCATGGCCCACACACTCGGAAGAACAAAAGGTACCACGATCACCTGGTGGGACCCTAGTCGGCCCAGATGACCTCCATCGGCCGAAAAGCAGTCTACTCAGAATACGGTCCAGGAGCCAGGAGAACCGGGTGACTTCATCAGCCGGGTCTTCGTCGGTCGTGCCCTCGTCGGTCGTGCCCTCATCGGCCACGAGCGGTCCTTAGAATAGGATCTTATACTTAATCATTCTTACATCTCTTGTACCCGGCCCAATAGTGGCTCTATTGTAAATGGGCCTCCCAAGCCCAAGACTTGGGAGCCCAGCCCTAATTTTTCCTATAAATATTACCTCTGGGAGTAGTTGTAGGGGGTCACAAAATCATTTATTAAAGCATTTACTTGCACTTCTCTCTCTAGCTCTCACTTCTCTCTAGAATATAATCTATCATTTGGTGCTTTCATTGAGAGCTAGAACAATCAAGTTAGCATCCTTCGTCGCTACCAAGCACAGCTAACCACTGATCATGGGAAGAACTAAGTCAAACCGCAAGCTCGTCAGGAGAACAGGGAGCGTGAGGAGGACGCCACGGCCGACCAGGTCGGAGGAGGGGACGTCTTCCAGGAGGCCATCAACCTCACGACGGACCTGTGCAACCAGCTCAACGGCGCCGCCCCTGATGCCCGCATCGGCCTGGATAAGAAGCGCGCAGAGAAGACAGACAACGCCTCGGCCCAACCTTTGGCCACGGCTTCTCCGTCTGTTGACCCACAGGTTCAGGCCGCACTATCGGTCATCATCGCCAGCTTGGCTCAGAACCCCACCGTCCTCAACGCACTCATGCCAAGGACTGGGGGGAACATCACTCCACCTCCTAAGCCCCAACCGTTGGCCACCAAGCTGGGCAACGATGAGGGGGTGATAGCCCAGGACACGGCGTCGTCCCACTCCCACCCCGCTTCCCCTCTCCGGCTCAGACCGACCCCAACGCGTGGAAAAGCCTCTGCCTTCAATAGGTTGGGTGACACGCGCCGTCGTCCGGTTTCGGAGAGGATGGCGGGACCGATTGGTGAGCGCCGGCCTGGCTCGCCAAGGGAAAGGCCGGGGTCTGTGTCCCGGACAGCGGACCAGCCCCACCTGAACAAAGGCAAGGGAAAGTTGCACGAGGATGACGTGCACCACCAGATCAACGCGGCCCACGAGGTGCGCGTGCAGAACCGACAGGGCGCCATTACGGCCGCCAGGGACCCTCGGGACGAGGTTATCGCCCAACTGGAAAGGAGACTGGCCCAGATGGAGGCCAGACAATCGGTGAACATTCCCACGGCCGGCGCCTCCAACGATCCTGGCCTCAACGCACTCATGAACAAGGTCAGCGCCCTTGAGAGGGAATTGGCCGAAGGACGAGGTGACCCCGTCATCCAGGTCAGGACCAGGACTGCCTTCACTAACAGAGTGCTCTCAGCTCCCATCCCGGAGAAGTACAGGGGAAACGCCATCAAGTCCTATGACGGCCGATCAGACCCCCAAGAGCACTTCAGCCGCTACCAGAACAACATGCTGATGGTGAACACGTCGGATGAATACCTCTGTCGTTGGTTCCTCTCCACTCTTGAGGGGCAGCGTACGAGTGGTTCAACGCGCTTCCCGAAGGAAGTATAGACTCATGGCAGGACCTTGCCCAGCGCTTCCTCACCCACTTTGCAGGGAGGAAGCGTGCGAAGAAGTACTTCACCCATCTCCTCTCCGTCAAACAGCAACATGACGAACCCCTCCGGTCACTCATTGATCGTTGGACGAGGGAGACCGAAGAGGTCGAGGGGGCCGATGAGCGCACCG